CTCCCTCCAATTACTCCAATAGCCACGAAACTAATACACAGACTCAACTGTGTTCCAATTCATCTATTCATTCACCCAACAAACTGGATGCAAGGCACTATGGGTACTGCAGCAAACAAAATATACAAAGAAAGTGCCTGTTTTCTGAAGCTTTCTTTCTCATCCTACACAGTTTCCTTTTTAAAATTCATCTGGTCATGGCACACACTGGCTTCAAGTGCTCAACAGCCTCCCACTGCCAACAGGATAAACTCCTAGCATGGTCCAAAAGGCTCTTCAACATATGGCAAATCCCACCCTTCCAACCTTTTGTTCTGCCACCCTCTCACAGGTCCCTTCAACTCCAGGGACATCCAACTACTTCTCTTTCATTAAAACTCCATGCGTTAGCCAGTTGTGGTGGCACATGCCTGTAGTCTCAGCTACTTGGGAGGCTGAGGCAGGAGAACCACTTGAATCTGGGAAGCAGAGGTTTCAGTGAGACGAGATTGTACCACTGCACTCCAGCCTGGGTGACAGTGAGACTCTGTCTCGAAAACAAAAAAAACCCAAAAAACTGCATGTGTTTCTTCAGGCTTCACCACCTTGGCACATGTTGCTTTCTACGTCTGCAACACCTTTTCCTCTTCTTCCTGTTGTGAATTCCTATCCCAGATTCTTGCTTTCCATGCCCAATCACGGATCTCACCATACAGTATGAAAATTATGTTGAGTCTGTTTCTCCCACTTGGTTGTGAGCTCCTTGAAGGACAGGAGCTGTATTCCATTCACTGCTGAGCTCAGCATGAGAGTGGACTCATAGTCTGTACTCAGTAAGCCTCTGTTGCATGAGAAAACAAGGAAGAAGCAGAGAAATGTGACAAGGGTAAAAAGCAACCGTCAGGAAAATAGAGGGAGCTCAAACTTTATTTGATGACCTGTCCTAAGAACTTCTTTTGTGATATACCCTGTTCTCTCTCTCTGGACTTTGAGGACAGAGCTTCCTTTAGGGGTGTGTTTCTCAAAGTACAGTACAGAACAACTTTAAATAATAACATCATCAGGCAAGTAGCAGGACTCTCCCTTCTCATTCCTTTCAATGTTTTGGATTTGGCTGGAGAAAAACACACAGACATGGTGACTGGTCTTGCTTTAAACTCATGACCACTAACTCCAAGTGGGTCCTAAATGGTGCCCAGCAATTCAACATTTCTCTTTCTTATTCACTAGAGTATTTCATGTCTTTTGTCTCCACATTCACTCTTAGCTGATGACCTTTCTTCTTATTTCACTGTGAAAACAGACACAACCAAAAGACCTTCCCAGGTTCCCACCACACCCGCTCAAGTTGGTGCTCATGTATTTTGCCATCACTCCTGTTACTAGGGATGAATTGTGCTCCTAGATAATGCTAAATTCTTTCCAATTGGGCAATAGATCCCATTCTTCCTTGCTTACTTAAAAATCACTCCAGTGGCTGGGCACGGTGGCTCACACCTGTAATTCCAGCCCTTTGGGAGGCCGAGGCGGGTGGATTACAAGGTCAAGAGATTGAGACCATGTAGGCCAACATGGTGAAACCCCATCTCTACTAAAAATACACAAAAATTAGCTGGGTGTGGTGGTGCACGCCTGTATTCCCAGCTACTTGGGAGGCTGAGGTAGGAGAATTGCCTGAACCCAGGAAGCAGAGACTGCAGTGAGCCGAGATAGTGCCACTGCACTACAGCCTGGGTGACAGTGCAAGACTCCATCTCAAAAAAAAAATCACCTCCAGTAATTCTATCCTCTCTCCTGATTTACCAATTTTTCTTTCTACTAGACCACTTCTATCAACTTACAAATATGCTCTAATTCTTCTCACAAAAAGAAAAAATATTAAACTCTCATACCCTCTTCTAATTTCAGCTACCACCCCATGACTTCCCTTTCTAAGAATTTCCAGTTACCTTAACCCACTCTCCTCACCTCCCATTCTCCTTGAACCTATGCCAATTAGGATTTCACTCCTAACACTCCTAAAACTGTTCAAGTTCACCAAAGACCTTCATTTACTTAAACAGTATAACACAGCTGATCATTCCCTCCCCCTGAACACCTTCTTCACTTGGCTTCCAGGATATCATTCGCTTTTGTTTTTCTCTTATCTCAGTGGTCTTTCCTTCTCAGTCTCTGCTTATTCTTTCCCATCTCCCCAGTCTCAGTCCTTTTTTGCATGCCCAGGGCTCAGTCCTTTTCATCAGCACACATAGTCTCCTAGCATTAAATACCACCTACATTTACAGCTTCAGCCCAGGGAGACCCTAATTCTGAACTTACATATCCAACACCTCTACTTGGATATTAAGAGGCATATAAAAACCTAACATGCTTAAAACCAAAGCTGACACCTGAAATCCCAGCACTTTGGGAGGCCAAGGCAGGAGGATTGCTTGAGCCCAGGAGTTTAAGACCAGCCTGGGAAATATTAGTGAGGCCCCGTTTCTACAAAAAATATAAAACATTAGTCAAACATAGTGATAAACACCTGTAGTTCCAGCTATTCGAGAGGCTAAGGTGGGAGGATGGCTTGAGCCTGGGAGGCAGGCTGCAGTGAGATGCAATTGCATCACTGTATTCTAGCCTGGGCAACAGGGCAAGACCCCACCAAAGAGGGGAGGGAGGGAGGAAAGGAGGGGAGGGGA